TTCTTTCTTTCTTTCTTTCTTTCTTTCTTTCTTTCTTTCTTTCTTTCTTTCTTTCTTTTTCTTTCTTTTTTTTGTTTTTGTTTTTTGAGGACAAGATTTCACTTTGTAGCCCTGGCTGTCCTGGTGCCCACTCTGAAGAACAGGCTACCCTCAAACTCACAGAGATTCTTCTGAAAATTTGTTCTCCAAAGTATTTTAAACATTCCTCCATCCAATTATATTTGCGCTGTCTGCCAATAAAGTAAGGCTCAGCACAGACCTGACCCTGTGCTGTACTGTGGAGCTGACGGGGAGAAGGGAGGTTATGCTGTTACTAAAAAGTGTCACCCCAAGTGCATGGGTCCTCCTTGCTTTTTCTAGTCAGAAAGGAATTGCCCTTTGCTTTCGAACACTAGCTCGAAGCAGACAGCACACGTCTAGGACAGCCCAGACCAATGTCCACCAGGTTCAGCTACCCATTCAGCTTACATGACCTTCCTGCCTTTGGCACTGAGGTTGACTTTGCCGGGAGCTGTGGCAGCCTGGGCTTTGGTTTTACCCTGTTGTATTCACATTCAAGTTTCATATCCTTTTTTTTTTTTTTTCTATTTGGCCTCATCCTCTAAGAAAAGATGAGGCCAAGACCCAGAGAAGTCAACCAGGCACTTTGGTGATTGGTTCCTTGTCCCAGACCCCAGCTATCCAGCAGTCACAAGCTTTGAAGGGACATTCCTCCTTGCCCCCACCCATAACAACCTCCCTCTTCTCTCAACAAGGTATTGCATTTCCAGTTCTGACGCTTGTTTTGGCACATAGCATATGCTTCTCCCTGCCCCCTGCCGCTTCCTGCTTTGCATGGGTGCTAGGCTCCTGGCGTTGAATCACACAGACCTAGGTTCTGATATTTACTTGGCAACCAGCCGGCTCCATGGCTTTCTGCACATCACTTGCTTTATTTGCCAGATACACCTCCTCTACCTGCATCTGAAGACTGTGAAGATGGCCGAGAGCTCAACAGTGGCCTAACATAACCCGAGCCTTCAGTTTGGTTCCATGGCACATGACTGTTTAGTATTTATATCTTTGTGCAGAAGGAGGAGACCACAGCCTATAGCTCTCTCATGCTGCACACAGCAGGTGCACTGCAAACACCCCAGGATTCTTTCTGGTGTAGACCTTTTCGGCAGCCAATCCACCATCACACATACTCTCAGCAGCATGTAAAGGCAACTCCGATTTCCAGGCTCCCTTCCCCTCCTAGATTCCTAGCCTCAGTAATTATCTTGCAGGCAGGCCCACCCTGTCCCGCCACCATTCACACTTGTCAACTTGTATCTCAGGATAAGGTTCTCACATGACAGACGCTAAGAACTTGCTGTCCAGGCAAAGAAAACTTTACGGTGATGAATCTGCCACAGACCTTATGTAACTAGCATGTCAACAAACAGGAGACACAGAGGGACAAGCACAAGGAACAAAACTACATAAAAGGTGAAAAACAAGGGGTTGCAAAAGGCCCATGGTGTTCTTGTTTTCCAAGTTCCTTAAAACTGATGCAGGTTCTTAATTTTAAAACATTCCTAAAAGGATTCAAATGTTGCAAGTCTCTTTTAGCTGAAAATTGACATTAACCTTCAAAGCTGATTTTTTTTTTTTTTGTGAATTGTCATGTGGGTGCTGAGAATTGAACCCGGCCATCTCATCAACCCCTTATAGCTGAAATTTTAACCAAATGCATTAGAAGTGCCTTTAGTCAAGAGTATGTATGCATAATATTAACTTATTTATTAATAACATTTATTGTCTACTTAATTAGCAAATAAAGACAAATATATATATATATATATACTTTGTTAATATATATGTGTTAAAACTGTAAGGCATTCTAACTGAAATTGCTTGAAATTACTTGCTAATCATAAGGAGTTAGGGTATCTTCCAACTTCCCTAATGCAAGGAATAACCTAGTAGATTCTTTTTAATAAAGCAAAGTTCTTTTGCAGAGTATTTATTTAGTCCCTGACTTTCATATTAAAACTATGAAAACATCTTCCCTGATGACTAACACATGATGCAGCCCCAAGGAAAGGCCCCACAGCTCAGAGGAGGGCAGAGGTCAGTGCAATGCTATCAGGAGAGCATAGGATTCCTGGCCAGCATTCGAGCTCTTATCTTACCTGTGCTCTTTGGTCACTTACCTTGAGCAGTTCTTTTCCTCTATTGGGTTTTCAGGCTGCTCAGATTATGAGCTCTTCCAAATCCAAGACCTTATGAGGCTATGGGGTAGGTGGCGAATATATGGAGAAGCTTGCTGTAGCTCCAGATGTGAGGCCCAGAGCAAGAGGAGACTGTGGTATAAAAACCTTGACCAAAACTTGCTCACATAGAATAACACGCAGTGCACTTGGCACAGCATGGGCTTGGCCTCAGCCTCCCTTCCAGAGATCAATGCTCACCAGAGGCCTCCTCACTGAGCTTTTGAGAAGCAGAGGAGGCTGGTGTTGGGGACCTTGGACAGTGGGGACGATAGAAATAGAGGCAGCTCTGTGAGTGAAAGCCGTGGCACCGAACCTCACAGGCTCATCCTTTCTAGCCGGGTGTTGCCAAGGGGGATGAGCCACTCCATGAAACCTGGGCCACGCTCTGGCCCCAGCGCACGGGCAAAAATAGAATGGGACTGCGAGAAGAAATGTGTTTACTTTTGTGATTTCCCTCTGTGCCTCTTAACAGTATTATAATCTCTCTGCAAACAGGCGGTGAGGGCCTGCGGGCCTCACCTCCGCTGATAAACCCTCCCAAATAACTCGTGCGTGAACCCTAAAACCTTAGCTTCTTGGGGCAACTGCTTGGGCAGTTGGAACACGAGTTTAGAAGGCAGCGTGGTGAAGAAGAAAGCGGAGAGGCCGAGGGGCTGTCAGAACTGAGTGAACTGCGGGGAAAACCCTTTTCCTGGGTGTCACCAATACAAAACAGCATTTGTAGGAAATAGCAAAACCCAGCCGATTTAGATTTTCAAAGTCTACACCAGTCTTTCTACTAAGGATTACTTTACCGTTCTGGGTAACAGGTCATGGCTGAGGCTGTTTTTGGCTATGATTTATAGACTTGAGGGGTGCTACTGGAATTAACGGGGTACAGGTCTGCTGCTAAACATCCTATAACGCGTGAGAAAACCTGATTTCCACAGACGTGCAGAGCATCAGGGGAGGGGAGAGGAGAGGAAGGGAGACATGGGACAGCGGGAAGCAGGGGAAGAGGCTGAACCCGTGTTCAGGGTACGACGTATTTACCAGCTATCTTTTCAAGCTTTGCTCTCTATGACCAAGGTCTTCGATTTCCCTTGGAATCCTGAGATTTTTGAATAGCTTCCCCACAGAACATCTTTCTCGTCCTGAATACATCAAGCCCCACTGCAGTACAAAGGGCACTACTGTAAGAACCAGCAATGATATAAACCCACACAGCTATTAAACAAGCAGGGCTGGGAGGTGGGGGGCAGGAGCTTGTGGGGCAAAACGTATGCCCATAACTCTGTCTCTGTGAGTCAGGGTTTCCAAGGTGACGGGCACAGAATAGCAACTGTAGGGCGCACGGGGTTATACTGAGAGCAGGCGGGGCTGATTTGGGGCACAAGTGAGATTCGGAAAGATACAGGTTTGCAACTGGAGATCCAAAGGCACATGGGAAGGCTAGGCAATCAGTGCGTGCCACTCTGGTATCCTTCCGTAATAAGCCACTCAGCAGTTATGACACATAGTTACCTGTGGTTTCCAGTGGGCGAGACAAGGACACTCAAGAGTCAAGAGGGTTTGGAGAAACAGGTGCAATGAAATCATAGTCAAACAATTTATTTACTGTAAACTTTTGACTTTGCTCAGAAAAGCAACTGAAGCTGTCCCTCAGATCCCTGCCTAGAACACTTCAGTCGAGCAAATAAGGGGAGTGGGAGAGAGTCCGTATTCACAGCAGAAAGGTCCAAGACACAGGGTTGTCAAGTCCAAGGGTACAGGAAGGAAGATTTCCTTCAGATACAAATGACTAGCAGCAATATATAGTATCCCTAATACTTGACCAATGAGGTAGATAAACGGAAAAGTGATCTAAACATGTAGACACAGTCATCTAGGACCAAGACACTTCAGACAGAAACTTTCAAGTTCCAAACAAAGAGGAACGGAGCTGTACAAGAACCAAACAAACACTCAAATACAGTCTCTCCCTCTCTCTCTCTTTTTGCAGCTTAGAAAAATAAAATAAAAAAAGGCAGAAGGAGTCTTTCCCCTTCTGCAAATCTCTATACAATTTTATTCTAAAGTTATTACACTCAAGTTAAATAGTCTCATTAGTGTCCTGTCGGGGAGGGGGAGGGTCTTAAAAAGTAGAAAGCCTGCATTCCAGCGGTGAGTCTTTGGTGCTACAGTTCCTCCCTTGGGAATCAATGCTAAGGCTAGGCACAGTACCTTGACAGTTCACAAAGCTTTCCGAGCCTGGTGGGTCCTCACACAGCAGTTCACTTTCTTTCTCCTGCCCAAGCTGGCATCCACTCACCTCCCCGGTGTAGTCTGTTTTGCCATTGCTGTTGCTGGAGCAACCGTTCCCATAGGCTTTTGAAGAAGACCTGCGGAGGCACAGAAGCTCCTGGAAGGCAATCCTGAAATCTGGACTCCGACAGTAGATGAGGGGATTGAAGGCAGAATTGACGTAGCCCAACCAGTTAAGGAGGATGTAAACTTCCTTAGGAATGAGGTTTTCCTGAATCACGTGCACGATGTTGACGATGAAGAAGGGCAGCCAGCAGAGGGTGAAAGTGCCCATGATGATGCCCAGAGTCTTGAGGGCTTTGTGCTCCTTCAAGCAGAACTTGGAGGACCTTCGGAGTCCGTGCCCACTTCGCCCGTCCTGCTCCGCCTGGCTGAGGTTTTGGGAGTGGAATCGTCCTTCAGATTTGTCTATCTTCTGGAGCTGCCTTTTGGCCACCTGGAAGACCCGGGAATAGACAAAGACCATGACCACCAGAGGCACATAGAAAGACACAATGGAGGAAGCAATGGCATAGGCCTGGTTCGTGAAGAAGTCACAGCAAGTCTCCTTGTGATAGCAGTCGATGGCTTTCTTGTGGGTCGCCCGGTACCAGTGCATTTGGATGGGCAAGAAGGAGGTAAGGCCGGAGACAATCCACACCATCAGGATAACCATTCGGGCCTTATTCTTGGTCAGCAAGCTCTGGTACTTGAATGGTGCCGTGATAGCAATATAGCGATCCACTGCAATCACACACAGGGTCTCGATGCTGGCTGTGACGCACAACACATCAATGGAAGTCCAGAACTCGCACCAGAAGTTGCCAAAATTCCACATTTTCATAAGGATGTGACTGGCCCCAAACGGCACCACCGCTAGGCCCATGACTAGATCAGCACACGCCAAGGAGGTTATGAAGTAGTTGGTGACAGTCTGGAGTCGCTCAAACTTGGCAATGGCTGTAATGACCAGCACGTTGCCAAACACGATGGCCAGGACGATAACCGACATGAGGATGGCCATGCCTACCACCCACGCTTCGTCCCGTTCCTGAGTGACGTCGTGGTCTGGAGTACTGCTTCCGTTGGGTGCCAGCAAGAAGTCGCTGTCGTTCCCGGGTGGCCCCATGGCTGGCAGACTAGCAGGTGAGCGCGCCTGCTTTAGGCGCTCTGGTGCTCTCAGCGGGTGCACCTCCGACGGGGCGCAGCCGGCCGGGGGCGGACTCCTGGAAGCTTCATTCAGCGGCTGGAGGTGGCTGTGCTGGGGGCGCGTCCTGCACACTCAGCTCGTGGGGTGCTCGCGGCTCGCTGTGCCTGCTAGCTGCAGTCTGAACGCCGGAGAAGCAGCCTCGCAGTGAGCCCTGCCCGTTATGTGCACCGGACTTTAGGGGAATTGCCCCGTGACGTGCAGCAACTTTGGGCCAATGGCACCGTCGCATGCCCGAAGGGGCGAGGCACCAAGGACCATCCCTCCCCGCCTAGCCCGCCTCCTCTTGGGGTTGGCCCGGGCGGGGCGCAACAGCTCCCCGGAGGCCAAACCACCACTCCCTCCCAGCTACCCTAGCGGGGCCCCAGAGACAGAAATCTGGGTCTACTGTGAGACCCGCCAACCAAGCGCAGTCTGGAAGTTCTACCTGTCTGTGCAGGTCACCTCTGCGGACTGGGGTCTCTGGATATGGGTGGCACACAGCGCATTTTCCTTCAGGAACAGAGACTGAGCAAGCTCATTCGGACACGCACACACAGGCACAAACGCACCCGGTCGACATGGACATGCTCAGACTTATGCCGAACCACAACCACAGACACCGAGACACACCCGCGCCCGCTCACGCCGGAGACAACTGTCTCCTGGTCCGCCACAGAAAGGAGGCTATAAACAAAGGCAGGGGCAACTAGAAGCACTCAGAAAGAAACGCACATAAGCGCTCACGTGGAGATGTGGAGTGTGGACCATTCAAGCACCCACGTTCACATCTAGGTACCACCCTCCCGAGGCATTCATAAATGACGCCCTCTTTTCCCATTCTCAGATTCTCAGTAGTTATTTGGCAAGAGCACAGGAGGTGACTTCAACAGCGATAGAGTTTCTCAGCACACTTTTTGAAAAAATATTTTTTTGGCATTCTTCCCTCTTGAGGACTTACAGGCAGCAAGGTAGTAATTTTACATCTTGCATTTCATTAGGAATCGAAGTATTTACACATTTGGAGGGAGTTAAGTGGCTTTACTTTTAATTCTTGGGAGTGTGGCCTCATTTCCTTGTTATATGGTGGCTGAAGAGGCGTTGACAATAAAGTTTATTATTTTCTTTTTAAATTTTTAAAAATTAAACGTATTTATTTTATGTGTATGGGAGTTTTATCTCTACGAATGTCTGCTCACTGTATTTAATCCTATTTTGGAGGTCAGGAGAGAGCATCAGATTCCCTAGGACTGGAGATACAGAAATGTCCCAGTTCACATGCTGGGAACTGAACCACGGTCCTCTGGAAGAGCAGTCAATGCTCTTAATCACCCAGCCATCTCTCCAGGCTGGAAAATTTTCAAACAATTTCTTCAATAACTCCATTGAAACTATAAAAATATACTTTCATGTGTTGGCTGGATAATTTGTTAATCTTTTCAGCTGTGTCGTGTGAACCTGCTACTGTTGGGCGATTTCTGCCTTTAAAAAAATTCCACAACTTCATATAATTCATTATATTAAAAACATGCTCTCTGGGGGCCGTTTTAAAACTACAGAAAGTAAATGATCATTGTTTCCTCCCTTAAAAAAACCGGACCAAGACCAAGATTCATGGACTATGATCCTGTGCAAATGACTGGACAGTCGGGAAAACCAGTGATTTTCAGGGTTTGATTTCACATGTGTTATCTCTGACAAACTGCAACTCTTTCACCCTGCATAGCCAAACATACTCTGTAGATTACATAATAACATAACAATGGCTGACATTTAGGGAGCATTCTGCTATGTGCCTTTCATGCATTATTGCATTTAATCCTTCCCACAGTCCCACGGGGGTATTTTCTTTAGCTCAGTTCTCCACTGGGGCTCAACAGGGCAAACAGCTTGTCCACGGACACTGGCCAGGCAGTCCCAGAAGCTGAGTCTGAACCACGATCTGTCTGATTCTAAGATCCGTTTCTTTAACCTTTCTAAGGTGCTGTGTAAGTCCATGAAGTGAAAGGGGGAGGGTCCAGGAGAAACCTACAACTGGGGTCTGAGCATCTGTGTTCCAGGTGCACCTTGGAACTTTTACATTCGTTTTCCTTAGTCAAACCACAATGACAGGATCAAACTCTCTTCATCTCTAAGGGGGTGCACACACAAATGTGGTGTGTGTATGTGTGTGTGTGTGTGTGTGTGTGTGTGTGTGAAAAATGATGAAGTGTGAGTGTGATAAAGTCATTTTCATTGGGATGAGTGTGAATCAAATGCTACAGAAACTATAAAAGTGTTTTTACATAACTTAATATCAGACACATTTGAATTTTTCAGTGAACTTTACATAATTTACTCAGTCGTTTAGAACATATTGCTAGCTTCCTCCAGCAAACCTATAAAACACTTGATGGAAAACAAGGTGCAGTGTTTACTTCCAAAGTGGGGCTTAGAAATGAAACCTCCATGGACCCTTTGACTTTCTTCAGTAGTGCACACTTTTAGTGTGTGTGTGACAAGTGCCTCAAAATATTAACCGTAAAACCCACAAATATCAGTTAAAGATCTAGTATGTCCACATGGTTTTCAAAACACACCCACCTTGTATTTGTATTTTCCAAAATTGGCTCAGGTCTGATGCATTTTAGGAAGAGGCTCTGAGTTATGCAATAGCCTTTCTTTTAATACACATCTACCCTGAATTGTGGAAGTAGAACTTTAAAACCGACTTCCTGTTTCTGAGGGTCTGGAATAAATAAGCACAGGATTGAATCTTCCCCCAGCAACAAGAAAGAAAAAGGCAAACCCTTTTCAGAACGAACATGGATCAATCTTATATTTATCCTGTACTTAAAGTTGCCCCAAACTTTAACTAAATAACTTGGGAAACATCTTTTAGAAACCTCACACACACTAAATCAAGAAGAAGAAATAACATTCGTCGAAAAAAAAGGTCCTGTGACGTTTCCCAGCAGTTTTGACAAATAGACATACTCTTTCCTCCTGTGGTAGGAATTTCAGAATATTATCTTTTCTTTAGCCTCCTTTTAGAATTCTAAGTCTAGACACAATTAAAGTAGGGAAGAGTTTAACAGATCGTTTTGGTTTATTTCCTTTTTTTTTTTCAAAGGAGCCTGGAGTGAAGAAATGGGGAGTGTCCCATTCACGGTGTTAGGGAAGTTCTGCCCTCCTGACTGTACTTGCTTCCAGACTCAGCAGTGGTGATTTTATTCTGCAGCAGGGCATTCTCTACAGCTTCCTCGGAGCTTGAGACCTCGGAGAGTTAAGTCACACTACAGTAGACTAAGCCGCCCTTATCTGATGGAAGAAGAATCGAGCTCTTTTATGGTGATTGATAGCGCCTAATTGCATATTTTGTCAATCCCTTAAGACGCTGATTTGTCAGTTCCTGCCCGCCAACCAGAAATAAAAGCCATAGTTTGATTTATCTAATGAGTGTTTAAACAGGAATAAGGTTCTGTGCTGCAGAGAATGTCCTCACACCAACTATGGGACAGCTAAGGAGCCTCTTCCTGGGTCTTGGCTCTGACAAGAGTTCTCCCATCTTCATGATTCTTTGGGAGAAGTATTTGTGGAATTCTTTTGTTTAACTTGCCTATCTTTTACTAATATCTCTAACCCTGTATATACAGGGTTATCGCGCCATATTTATATTAAATGAAATAAAATACATGCAAGGTATTATACTACTACCTTCAAAAAGAGGCAGTTATTCTTATTGTCTTATCTTTTTTGCATTAAAAGGTAGATATAGAATACATATTTGTCTCATTATATTGTATATGTGAAAGAACCCTTTGGACATAAATAACATGCAATTTATTTTTCATTTGTGTTACGTTGGGAGTAAACTAAACTCCAGTCCCTTGAGAAAAGGAACAAAGTTTCCCAGGGAGAAAAATGAACCTGAAAGTTATTGCTACTAACATTGGAGTTTTCTAGCTCCATGGGGTGATAATGGTTTGGGGTGAAGTGTCTTAAGTCCTTACACAGTGTGTTCCCCCTCAAAGTTTTGGGGAACTGTCTCTAGTGAGGAAAAAACCATTGGCTTTTTGTATTTCTCCCACTGTCCAGATTTTGAACTAAAATCTATCTTCTTTCTATTTATGCCCACGACACTTAAGTCTGCCCCCTTGAGGCCACTCAAGACAATCGCCTCTCTTTTCTAAGGCTGTCCTTGAGTTCTTGACAGGATCTCTGTCCTCTCAAGGTTTAATATCCCTGGGTCGGAGGTACCCTGGACCACGATGGTCTCTTTGCTGTGAGATTTAGTATCCCTGGGTCTGGGGTACCCTAGACCACTATGGCCTCTTTGCTGTGAGATTTAGTATTTCTGGGCCTGGGGTACCCTGGACCACATGGTCAGTTTCTCCCTACAGTGTTTCACTTAGTTGATGGTGCTAACATTGGTACCTGGACCACCCTAGAACAAAGTCATCATCAATCACTTTGCGATCACCTTGGCAACCATGAAGTAGAACAGAGCAACCAGCAAAGCTCTCCAAACAGGTGCTTATGCCAGACGAATTTAATTTCCTGCTATGCTTGGGTTTTATGAGAGACACGCTAATAAATCCTCTACATCCCAGGGGCATTGGACAAAAGGAGATGGCATTAAATTAAAACAAGGGAGGGGGAGGAGGTAGGAAAAGGGAGGAGGAGGAGGTGGGAGGAGGGAGGGAATAATTCAGCAGACCACATAAAGGACTCTTTGACCTGAAAAGAATTAGTCATTCAAGCGGACTAAACATCCACAGCTTTTCTCAATTGGGATTTTGAAAGAGTTAAATCCCACAAAAATTATTTGATTACGTATTCTTCCTAGTTCTCCTAAGCTGGAACAGAAGCGCCCTCCTAAGGACATGAGAGGGGCATTGTAAGTATATACAGTGTGATGGATACCCAGGGCTCAGTGTGTAATCCTCTTGCTGCTTAGGACTCAAGGGACTGCTTGGAGTCTCCTTCAGGAATGGGAATGAAGAACGTGCAATGGGTCTCTGCATGGGAGGGAAGTATTGGGTGCACAGACAGGGTATGAATAGGGATGAGCACACCTTAGCTGTGATCCCAGAAAAACCAGGGCCTTCTGAGCAACCTTAGCAAGTCACCTTCTCTCTTGGAGCCTCAACTGTGACCTATGTCACGGGGAACTTTCCCTCAGAAATGCACTAGCCTG